CTCAGTTTCTTAGAGGGCTGCGATCTTGGCACAGCTATCTGTCTTGTAGTGTTTTTGATAACAATTTTCTTGTGAGGAATACCTGAAGAAGTTGCCAGTGGCAATTCTGCGCTGTTTGATGTTTCATAAGGTCGTTTATTGGTAGCAGCAGGCAGAGCTCTCTCATCCCTCACCCGATGTGATAAAGCTTTGTTCTCATGACCATCAGTCTTGCATACTTCTCTGGTAAGAGAAGTTGTATATTCTTTATTAGCATTACTGGAAATACCCTTAGCATTTGAAGACTGAATCACAACATTCACTTTATGGTCAAAAATATCCTTGGCACTGACAGGGCCTGGCCTACACTGTGTGTTTGATGCAAGATTTGTTTCTGTCTGTTCACAGTCATGTGGGGACTCATTTTGCATAACACTTTTTATGAGGCTTGTAAGGCACAACTTTAATGGCATTGAACTAACAGCCCCTCCTCTGGCATCATCTATCACTTCAGCTGTTCCCCTGTTTCTTCTTGCATTACACAGTCTTATTAATGAACTTCCAGAGACAGTTTCAGGTCCCACTGCTGTTTCAGTGGGGTCTTCTCTCTCAAGCAGTGACTGAATAACATCCTTATTTAAGACAAGAACCTTATCGCTTTCCTGCATTACTTGACCTTGATGGTTGCCCCCATCTTTTATATTATTCTCTGCACAATCCCCTAGGTCACCACAACCATCTATTTCCCTTATTTCTGATCTGGCTCCTCCACTGAAAGAGGAACAAAGATGTTCTGAAGGTTTCAGATGAGTATCAGATACTTTTTGGGAACTGTTAGTGTATTTTGACTTCTGTTCTGAGGTATTTGATTTAACTAAATCAGAAACTGTGTCATCTTTGCTTGACAATGGAATATCTGATTTATTGTTTCTACATGGATCAGATGATTCAGCAGTATTTTGAACTGGGGCATTTTTAGTTTCCTGTACATTTTTACTTGACTCTGTAAGACTTGAACTTTTTTTCCCAGTAATGGATTTCCTCTTGACATCTTTTGATTGCAAGCTACATATTTCATAAGAATCCACAATTTCATTACATGCTTTCTTAAAGTTTTCCTGGATGCTCTTCTCATCAAGAATTGAAGGCTTCAGAACTGGAGCATTATGTAAACGAAAGTCATTGTGTTCATTAAATTCTCTGATGTCCTCACTACATGGTTCAATAAATAAATGCTCTCGTTTCAAAAATATTTTCACTCCTTCCTCTATGCAAGTTAGAAGAACATCCCAGTTCTGGAACTCAATCAGAGTCTTTGCAGGTTCCAGGCACACATCGTAGTCACTGTATGCACAGGTTACATTGAGAATAAAGATCCCATACAACTCTGGCCCACAGCGATGGCGACCGGGACTTGAATTAGCCTGTCGGCTTGCAGGGACACTCTTTGCCTTGCAAATTACACTTTCTTTTCTTAATAAAAAATCAATTAGTTTATGTAGTCTTGTCTTTAAAACAAGCCTCCTATTCACATACAAGAACTGCATATTCTTATTGTAATGTCCCTCAGTACTGATAAAACCACTTATCTCAAATCCCCCAGATTTGTGATTTATTTCTCGCAACTTCTGGGATCTGCCCAGTCCATAAATTTGACAAAACCGAGAGTACACATCTCTTGTCTTAGGGAGCTGAAGCACCATGGAGCAAGAAACATCGTTTCTTAAAGAAAGAGAAACAGAAGGATGCATTAGCGAAACAGCCTCTACCTTCTGTCTCACTCTCTCAATTTCCAGTACAGGATCCATACACTTTCTCCTCACTGGTAACTGATGGAACAGATTGCACACGGTGACTGTAGTTCCGCCACTTGGTCTGTTCAACTCAGCTTCACATACTTCCAGTGCTTGCCCATTGTGAAACAGTTTCATAAATGTTTTTGCTGTCCTGCTGGTCTTAGATGAGATTTCCACTACACTGGCCATGTTGGCTATACTTGCCAAAGCCTCTCCTCTGAAGCCATAGAAAGTCAGGTTCTCCAAGTCTCTCACTGAGCTGCACTTGCTGGTGAAGTAGCGCTTTCCAACAGCTTTTAGGTCCTCCTTCCCCATCCCGGAGCCATTGTCCACCACCTGGATCTTGAAAGCTTCTAAATCCACCCTGATAGCTACACATGTTGCTTTGGCATCGATGCTATTGAGGACAAGCTCCTCAACACAGTGTCCGAGTGAGTTGACAGTGACTCCAGAACGCAGCCTGGCTCGCACATCTTCCACCAAACGTTTGATCATGTCAAAATCTGATAGATGAGAGCCACAAGAAACTGCAGGGAGCTCACTGCTCCATATTCCTTAAAACACGGAGAGATAAAGGGGGAAAAATAAAATAAATACAAATTAAAGACCTGAAAAGGTTTTGATTTATTTCATTCACCCTCATAGATACACTTTTCTTAGTTTTCTTGGCATTCAGAGGCTTTTTCTGTGATTACTTTCATGCTCGTGCTCTGACTACGCATTGTCAGCGCCTTCAGGGTAGACGGCCAGAGCCTGAGCCTAAGCTCCTTACTAACAACATGCTGTGTTCTCAAACTTAACATATCCAAATCACACTCCTACCGTGTGAGACAAAACTCAAAGAACCTGCAAGCAAAAGGCTTCTACTGCAATTTTCATCAGAATTATGGAGTAAATATCACCAAGACCTGGGCAGAAAGATGCTTTTATCCTGTTTTTACATCCCCACAAAAATTGACAGTCCTGGTCAAATAGCATCTGCTGCTACTTACGCAGGAAAGGAATAAAGCAAGCTTAGCAATGGGTGTCAGGCACAAAGAGAAAGCTGTTTATGCGAAAGGGAACCCACTGTTTTCAAGTCCTTGGCGCCTAGTGGTTTCCTAGTGGCATTCAAGGGGCCTGCTAGCCGTGCCTGGGGACCCGGTGCGGCCACTGGGACAGGTCTGCCGATGCTCCCTGGCCGCGGGGGCTGAGGAGGGCAGCGCGGACCCGCGGCTCAGCTCGCCAGCACACGCTGTTCGTGCCCTCCCCTCACGGGCGGAGCGCCCTCTGCTTCCTCTCCCCGGCCGCCCCGGGCCCCGTTCCCGCCTCCCGCCCTGGCCCCTCAGCACCCACCGGACCGGGGCGGGCCCGCAACGGCCGCGGCGCGAGACCGCTGGGGCCGGGCCCCCGGGCTCCTCGCGCGGGCCGACGGCGCGTGCGCAGCCGCGAGCGGGCGGGGCCCGGCTAAGAGCATGCCGGGAGTTGTAGTTCCCCCCCGACAGGGCCCAGGGAGGCCGGGGAAGGCGGGAGCTCGGCCCGGCTTCCCCCGGCCATTCCCGCACAGCGGCACCGAGCGGGGAGACTGAGGGGCAGATTTGGCAACCAGATCCCGCTCCGAGGGCCGTCATCCACTCAGCCCCTCCATCTGACATCCATTCCACAGAGAAGGTGGAATCCAAGCAATTTTATTCTACAGCAAATATGAAGTTCTGGGATAAAATAAATTGTTTCTGAGACATTTAGTACACAGAAATAATGTTTTTAGTGATGTTTTCTAGTGGCACTGACCTTGTGATTTTCTTCACATGAGCACCACACTACAAATTTCAGTTTTATCTCATGTACAGCTCCCGAAACCACATACACTTGGAAACAGAGGTTCTGGCCCTGAACAGCCCTTTTAACAGAGACAACGTAGCTCTTCCTCTATCCACAGGAATTCTGCGAAAAGCTGAGCATCAAACTAACAAAACAATAAATTAGAAATTTAATAAAATAAAGTTCTCTAGAGCTGAACATTGGCTGACTGAACGAGTGAGGAAGAGGGGCAATGTTCCGTGAGCACAGCTCACGCTCCAGAATTTGCTTCTTCCTGGACAAAGTCACTTCAAAATCTGGAATTCCTTGTGCTCCAGCGCCTGGATCTTCTTCTCATTGCTGAACTCTGCTCGGCTGATACGAGACTGGGGACTTCCTATCTTCTTGAGCCATTCCTGCAGCTCCCGCACCCTAGCAGTCGGACCCTGGATTTGCCCTTGAACAGTGCCGTGACTGGTATTCTGGACCCAGCCAACAAGCCCCAGCCTCTTAGCCTCTCCCTGAGAAGACAATGCAGAGCAAAATGAGGTTAATCCAAACTCTAAGAGAGCAATAGAACAGCATTCGCATACAGGAGCCAATTTTGTTGGCAAGATACAGACCTCCAAGGAAGTTCCTGTGGCTCAGGCAATAGGAAAGCAGCAGAGGATTCACTCCACTACTCAATATATTCTTTCACGCGAAAAACTGGGGCTGAAGCTCTCTCTTCAGTCATGCTTACATAACCCGGCCGGGCTGCCAGCAGCACCGCGATGCCGGCCCCCCTTCAGCAGCAGCCGGAGCGCAGCCCTCGGCCGCGGGCTCGGCCCCTCCAAGGCGCCCACAGCGGGCACGCCCCCGGGACCGCGGCACGCACCTGAGTGTACTTGCGGAAGAACACGCCTTGCACCTTGCCGTGCACCTCGTAGTCCACGGACACCAAGCCCTCGCAGTCCGCCATGGCGGCACCACCGCCGCCGCCTCCCGCTCCTCCGGCCGCCGCAGCCGCCGCGCGCCCCGCTGCGCCTGCGCCGCGCGCCGGCCGCCGGGGGCGTGGCCTCCCTCCCTCGGCCAATGAAGAGCCGTAGCGGGGTCGGGCCGGTTCCTCATTCGCCGCCTCATGAATAATGCATATCCGACCGCCTCACGAATAATGCATATCGGATCGCCTCACGAATAATGCGTATCGGATCCCCTCACGAATAATGCATCTCGGACTACCTCATGAATAATGCCTCAGGGCCGCCCACGGGCGCCGCGCTCGTGCCGCGGTGGAACGGCCGCGCGGCCGGGAACGATCCAGGGGCGCGCGCCGGCCGGGGCGGCACCGGTCTCCCGGCAACAGCCGCCGGCAGCGCGAGGGCGGCGCGGCGGGCACGGCCTCGCGGCGGGCACAGCTCCGCGCCGGGGCCCCAGGAGCCGCGGGCAGCGGCAGCGGCAGAAGGGGTCGGGTCTCTCGGGCCGTGAGCGCAGCGTGCGGCGCGCAGCTTGCCGAGGAGGGCGGCCGGCGGAGCGCCGGGCGCAGCCCCGCAGGTAACCCCGCTCGCCCCGCCGCGCCTCGGGGGATGTGGTGGAACGAGCCACAGGAAGATCGTGCCGAGCTTGGTCGGACTCCTGCATGTCCGATGTGGGTGACAGAGTGAAGGGACACGTTATGGGAAACTGGCTGGGTACTATAACAGTTCCTCTGTCATTGCAGTATATTTCTGCTGCTACCATGGTAAGGAAGGGCTCAGACAGAAAGAGAAATAAAAGTGTGTCTTATTTCTGTCTGCATAAACGGTTGAGACTAGAAGAGGCAGCATGGAAACTCCCTAGATGGAAGGAATGTAAAGATTTATAGAAAGCAGGAAAGTTACAAAACCTTTACTAATACTTATTACCTCTGTCTGCAGTGTCCATAAACTGTTAGGAGAAGATTTGTCCAGTTTTGGATAAAATTGTTTGTAATGGCTTTGCTTCTAACCTCAGGCTCTTTCTCAGGCACTGAATGGATTTTTTTCCTCCGGTGGCTCCTGTGGTGGAAGCTACTAAGTTTTCTCCTGGTTCCCAACTGAAATACCAGAAGGACAACTTTCAGCGTGGATTCATACTTGACAAAGAGGAAAGTTTAAAATATCTCTATGCACAAAAGAACCAAAGATATTCCTACTCTATGTCTGCAGAAAGCACTCAGGACAAGCCCAGGCATGGAGGCTTTCAGTCAGGTGGACTAGAGAGCAAGTATCTCATCAACCAGACCTGTACTCTGTCAGCTAAATCCTTAGGCAGACATAAAGAAGGAGTGGACCGTGCATATCCCCTGCAACCAATTTCTCACCACAAGAGTGCAAGCGATCCACTGCTCAGCACTGGAAGTTCCCCCCACGTGCAGGAAGCTCCAAATAGTAAATCAAGCTCAATAAGCAAAGAGATGGTTCCAGCTGGGAGATCTCAGTTAGCTGCAGTGCTCTGCCCTTGGACACGAGAGCCTGAACCATCAACTCTCTATCGCTACAGGAGAGAGCTGGCCTACATCCTAAAGCTGGAGGAAGATAGAAGGGACCTAGAAGAGGCAATTCAAAAGAAAAAGGCCCTTCTTGGAGAGAAGCTAAAGAGGACAGAGGAGACACTTAGGAGGATTCAAAGAGAGAAGGAGCTTATCAAGGTAGAGGAGAGAAGAGAAAGTGAAGTGGAGAGGACCCATGAGCAAAAGGCCACGAGGCACCCTGAAGAGAAAACTTTCAGAGCTGCAGACATGCCAGGTGTTGGGATCTTCAGCAGGACACAGTCTGCAGAGGACTCCATCCCCAAGTCTGGCACCACTCCCCACCCCCAAGAGCTGGCTGTGGGGAACCTCAAGGAGTGGCTGGGGGCCGCAAAACACAACAAAACAAACAACAGCAAAATACAAGACAACATCCCCATGGAGCATTTAGCTTCTTGTTCAAAACTGGTCCCCAAACAGAGCCCTTCTCTCTCTGCCCTCTCAGACCAAGATTCTGACGACCACCCATCTGCAGAGATGATTCACATGCAGGCTGCCAGTGCTGTGGAGCAAGAGGGCTTTGGACAGTGCAGCTTCTGCAAACGTAAGTTTCTCTGCACAAGGCTTGAGAAACACATGAGTATCTGTGGCAAGAACCAAGACTCCAAGAGGAAAGTGTTTGACTCTAGCAAGGCCAGAGCTAGGGGAACAGAACTGGAACAGTACCAGCAGCAGAAGAGCTCAAGGAGTCCTCAGGTAAAGTGCAGTCCCTTTGCCTCCCTGGATCCACATCTACTGTTCCCACTCCTTCCACTTCAACCTCTGACTGAGGTGCAAGCACCTTCCCATGTACATGGGGCCAAGGGATACAATGCAGCTATTGTCTCTGAAAGGTTCTTGCCAAATGGATAAATAGATCCATTTAAAATCTCATAGGTGGAGGCAGGACTCCTGACTTGGCTTTATAACGTGTCAAGGGTGTACTACTGGAGAAGGCTCACTTCTTTGCTGTAGTTAGGATGCAGAGTGGTTCTGCTGCAGTAAAGCTCTGTGACACCAGGGGCTGCAGGAGCTGACTGAAAATCCAGATAATAGCACAGTCTGTTAATGAAGGCAGTGGAAACAGGCAGCTCTGTTCCTGCAAAGGAGATGTAGCAACCCTCTTTAGTTCCTTGGCCCTACTGCTTGCTTTTCTGGTTATCCTGAAGCTCTTTCTAAGTACTGATGTTTCCATCAGTATTTCCTTTACATCCTCCTTTGTGCTAGTCTTTCTGACTCCCTCTCAGGCTGGGTTTTATGTCAACAGGGAATGCACAGGACAGGTGACATGGGTGGGGCTCTGAGTGTAAGTTTGAGGATGGAGGCTGATGGTGGTCCCAGTTGCCCTGACTGCCTTTCCCTTCCACAGAGTAAAACACCACCCAGAAAGAACAACTGGAAACAGAAGCACGAGGCTCTCATCCACATCATGTCACAGGCCCGCCAGGTGGAGCAAACCCTCGCTAAGGGGAGTAAGGTCTCTGGCCTGCCCCCGCTGCCTCCCATCGACAATCCAGACTATGTTGCCTGCACCTACTGCGGACGAAAGTTTGCTCCCCGAGTAGCTGAGAGGCACATTCCCAAATGCAAAAACATAAGGAATAGGCCCCCACCTCCACCGCAGAGGAGGCGCTGATGAGGCAGTGCCAGCTGTATCTGCTGCTGTGATTCCCTGCCTGGTTTTTGCCAGATTCACAGTTATGCACATTTGTGTTTGTGTTGGCTGCAAGCTTCTATGTACAGCCAGTGAACAGCTCAGGATGAATTAGGTGAAAAACAGAAATTGTATACTTTGACCTGCACCCTAGGTTGCCCCACAAAAGATGCCCCTTTCCTCAGCATAAGAAGCTCAGGATCAGAAATTCCAGGGGTTAGAAAAGCTAGCAATAGCAGGCACTTGCTGTTTAAATCCTTATGTCAATTCATGTGCATAGAACAAGGATACTCTGAATCAGCCAGGCCCTTGAGGCAACAGAACAACCATAACAAACAGATTTTAAAAAATGGAGTTTTCTTCCTGCAGGCCAAGTTGCTAGGAACCTCTAAAAGCAAAGCTTTCACCCTTCCTGAAGTCATCTGCTTATTTCATCTTGGTTGCTGCAGTGGGAGGGAATTATGACAAAAATATATCCCTTGTTTTCTTCTCGAGATGCTATTTTTCTAGATTCTGATTATTAAATATATTAAACTAGTTATCTTGTGTAAAAGTTATTTTAAATGGTCACAGAGTGGTCTGTGTTCTCACAGTAAGAATGACTACTTTGTATGAGAAAGTTGCAACAAGAAGCGAACAAGGAATAAAAAAGCTCCAGAAGCTCCTTTTGCAAGTCCTCTGGTAGCAATAGCAGCAGCTCATGGGAACCTAGGGAAAGATCTAAAGCAACTAGATTAAGCTGGAATAGTCAGAAGCTGAATATGAAGAAATACTCCAGCTTTCAATGAATGATCCAGCCACAATGACTGAACCTGACTCCTGAAAGAGGTTGGAGAGCTTCTGTCCTATGGATATGTGAGCAGAAATCTCAGTCCCTTGGCACACCCTGGAAAAGTAGGAAGGTCCCAGAAAGGATCATTGCTGCACTGTGCCAGCCAACAACCCATGTACAAACCTGAGAGAAAAAGGAGACTCAAAAGAAGGGAAAATAATTTACTGTATCCAAACTGATTGGAGAAGCAAGACCAATGCTTTAACTTGAGAGTTTTGAAAAACAGGATAGCAAGAGGTAGGAAAGGGGTAAATTGAAACCTTTATGCCAGCCTCCTTGAATTCATGAAAGGAACAAGTGATTTGAACACACTAGTTAAAAAATTCAGCACCACTGCCTGTCTTCTAATATTAACTCTGTTTCCCTTGCACTGTGTTTTATTGACTATATTTAGTGGACCCTAAAGGTCAGCAGTGTAAATGGTGACATGTGGATACACACTAAAAAGCATTGATGCTGTAAAATAAATCCATGTTTTGGGGACTTCTCATAACTGACAGGCAAATGGCTGAGATTGAAAAGATTGACACTGTAGATTAAATAAAAGTTATTAAAATTAAATCACCAGGCTTGTTACATGTTTTGGAGCTAAGATAGGCAGTTCACCCCTCCTTGCTATTGTTTCAGTATCCAGAAAGTCTCTGATAACTGGTTTAAAACTTAGTAACATGTCAGACCAAGTATCAGGGTCAGAACAGAGATTTAGGGTGCCGCTTTGCCATCATGGTTAGTTACTCTGACACTACTCAAGCTGTGTTACTCATGACAGCTCAGCTTCCTCTTTTGCTCCTGCAGTACAATCCCCCTCTCAGAGACATGCTGCATTTTCAGCATCCAAATCTCTAGTGGATTTTAAATCTTTAACTCTGCTCTGCCTGTCAAGATATTTTACAATTTAATACCATTTCTGATGAAAGTGACAGTGTGCAGGAACAGTTGGCTGAGCAGGTGTCAGGCAGGTTTTCCCTTCTGTAGGCCTTAATGATCAGTGAAGATATTCTGAGAAAAACAGGTACTTCTCCCCTTTAAGCCTCTCTTCCCATTACTCATTTCCCCACTTCAAACTGTGGAAATAAACACACACACACAAGCTCCTGAGGAGGTCACTAGGAGGAGATGTAGCAGTATGAGAAAAGAATGGGTTTTTTGTTTGGTTGTTGTTGGTTTCTTTTAATGAAGGGACACAGAAACTGACTTTTTTTTTTTAACCAGAGCAAAGAATCTAAAAGCCCTTTCACCCTCTTTCTATAAGCAAAAGAAAATAACCAAAACCAGAACGCCAAAAAAACAGATGACTGTATGAATATTTCCCTTTCCTTTCTTGGAAAAAAAAAAAAAGACAAGAAAAGGAGTTCAAACACAGGAGTATGAGTTTAAACATTTATTTAAACAGAAATTCCAAACCACTCCACCCTTTAACCTTTCAAAGAAAGACAATGACAAACTAGTTTTCAGCCAGAGTGTCAGAGCAGGCATAAGTTGTGTTCCACTACAACAACTCAGTAGCAATACTAGCAGGAGACCAACACATATGGAGCTAGCACTGCAAGAAGGGGAGAAGTAAAAAGGGTTTGAAACTGCTCAAAGGCACTTCTGCCTGCCTGCCTTTCCATTTTCAGCCCAAGACAAAGGTGCTACCTTTAAACTGCTTTTTTTTTTGTTGCATAGCTGGCTGGTGTGAAATCTGTGTTCTGTAACAGGCACAACCTGGATAGCGTGAATCCTCTAAGGCACATATGAGATTGTGGAGCACAGGGCATCCTCTGTCAGGAGCCCTAATCCTCCACTAGATCCAAGGGGAATCCAGTCTGTGCACCTAGCTTCCCAACTGCAGAGCATTGAGAAATGAGGATAGCAGTGCACTGCAGGAGAGCGACTCTCATCAGCTTGGTGCTTGCTTATTGGACATGGCTCAGGCTCAACGTTTCAGTCCTCAAAGGCACTGTTGCACTTGAACAACGACCCTCAAGCCGGGACCCTAACCTGAGAACTGGCTCCAATGCACGGGGGGGAAAGGAGAGCAGAGCCACAAGGGCAAACAAGCCTGGCTGTACCAGGGCACCTGATTCTCACTGCCTCCCAGGAGGGCTCTCCTCCTGCCCTGCTTCTGGTAGCAGTGGACAGGCACTCTGGAACGATTCTTGCCCTGGACACTGCATTGGGAAGACAGCACTTGATTCAGCTCCCAGATACTAGCAATAGGCACCAAATAAGTATTTAAGGAGCATTATGTTACGAGCAAATGGTTTGGCATCCACCTCTAGAGACAAATGGGGAATGCTGGATTCCCCAGAATAGTCTCTCAAAAGAAGCCTGTCAGAGGTGATATGATATTCACCTCCAGTAGACCTAAGGCAATTCTAGTAACATGCCATCAATGGGGATCATTTAAACCTGATGAAATCATAATCCCACTCTCACAGCAAAGGTGAGAGGAACTTAGGACTCCTTGGAGGCACCAAGGCAGGGGAGGCTAGCTGCTCCCGGGGATCCTACCAATCCCATAAGCTTTACTTCAAAGTCAGTTTGCTAATAAATTTAGGGGGAATAAAATTAACCTTGTTCTCTAACAGAAAATGAATAAATCTTGAGCATCAGACCATGCCTCTTCCCATCTCCAATTTTCTTGGGAAAACGTCTCACTTCTTGAAAGAAGGTGAATTCCGGACTAATATTTGATCATTCATGGTCTTTGGAGAAGGCTGCATCCTGAGACCACAGCAGTAGTGACCTATTCTGGGTAGGAAATGGCATTCCAGCTTCATCAGAACACTGAGTGGAAAAACACGGATTTTTCCCACACCCACACAGAGTGTAGGCACAGGGACTGAGCAGAAGAGAAGCCAAGCAGGGAGCAGCTACAGGCTTATGCCAAGAAACCAGAAACTCTGGCACCCAAACCAAGTTGAGCAGCTGGAGCAAGAAACAGGTAACTTAGTCTGAGGCCCAGATGCTTGGCATCTGGTTGGGAGACATGTGGTCTGAAACCAAGAAATACAGATCCAATCTCAGACAGTCCCCACTACTGCTACGGGAAACACCCGATTCACTCATCTTGGTGCATCGCCTGGAAGTTGGAAAGCCCTCAGCACCCAGAATAAAGCCTTCAAACTCTGTCTATACAGACCAGTGGACTCAGCCATATGGCCAGAAGCTATGCTTCGAGGCCAGGGACATGCTGTCTACCATGATCTCCCTAAGAGGAACAACTCCACTGCCTCCAGAATGACACATTCGCTGGTCCCTCTGCGCCTGAGCAGAGGGAAGCAGCCTCACTGCTGGGGCCTTACCACGTGGTAAGGAGAGGATCCTAGTCCTTCACCCCTCTGAAGTGAAGGTGGCAAGTCCTAGGCCTCAGCCAGCTTCAGTACAGAACATGTTTCCTCCTCTCATCTAGAGATGCAGTGATGAATACTGGGGTCCCAAAGGCAGCTCCCAGGAAACAGTGAAACAATGAAAGGGCCACAAGCTGCTACTGGAGCCATCGCCATAATGGGGCCGTTCTGCCTCACATGCAGAACTGACAGGTAAGGTACAAAGAGGAGCTGCTGCTGCTTCAATCACTGAGCTGGCCTAGAGCTCAAGGGCCCTCCCCCTCTCAAACTCACTCCTAGTTCATATCAAACGTACATGGGTGCTGCTCTGGAGCCTCCGGCCTCGCTCCTTGTCCGCGAGTGACCTGACGCCAGAAAAGCCGCTCTCTGCATTCGGTTAGTGTGCTGTGAAGTTAGATGGATCCCAGTGGGCTCAGGAGACTAGAGGTTGGAGCGGCACGAGTCCGTTCCCAGGAGACACCAGGAATCTGAATCCACATCAGGTTTTGGATCCACTTCCATCTCCTCTTTGGTTGTCTGTGTTCCTTTGGAATGAACCTTCACCTGCCAAAACACACAGCAGTTACCCAAACAGTGCCAGGACAAGCTGCACAAAAGCTAGAAGCTGCACAAGGCCCAGTTTGTGTTCTCCACAGCCATTAGTTACTCTTTGCAACGTATGACTGACCATCACTTCTCATCAAGAGAAATAAAGGGAAATCCCAGGTCCTCAAAACAGTGCGCTGTCCTCAGAGAAACTCTTTCGGCTTCATTCCTGTTTTGCTACTATCAGAGCCTGCATCAGCAGCTTATAAAAGAAACAGGCATCTTTCTTAGTCCCACCAAATTCTGTTCTGATAGAGATGGCTGTTAAGAGTTGCTCTCTTCTGCACAGCCTCCACAATCTGCAGGAGCATGGTGAGCCCTGAGCACGGATGTGCACCCAAATGACGGATTCTCACCTGCTGCATTTCGTCCATTCTCCTGCAGAACCGCTGGAGTTGGGCACTCAGATGAATGGTTTCCTGCTGCAGCTTCTTCTGATCCTCCAGACACTGTAAAACCAGGCCTCGCAGGTGTGTCACCTCCACTTGCAGAGCACTGCACATGCAGCCTGCACCAGGAGATGCATCCTTCCCTTCACCACATGGTAAGGCTGGACTCAGGCAAGTAGGCTGCAGAGACATAGAAGGAAGTCAGGCCAGGTCTGAGTGCAAGGCCAGGAGCTGTATATGCCACAAGAAAAAAAACACACCCAGAGTGTTATCCCAGCTTGTTCCCTGACTTGCCAAATTTCTAGCAGGCAGGGTCAACAAGATGCTTCTCCTTCTGTCCTCTGTACAAAGCCACTAGCTTCCTTCTTTTCCTGGGAAGGCCATTCCT